TCAAAGGTCAACCTAATTTCTGACTTTGATCCCATGGCCCGGTTCCCCAGAATCTCCTTATCTTAATCAACAAGAAGAAATCGTGGAGAGCAGCTTTTATCTGTGGAGCCTTTTGTTGCTTTCAACTTGTTCATTTGTTGCCAATCAAAGCCTTATGCAAGGTGGAGATGTTGCCTTGACGGACTGCAGCTGATACTATTGATGCGAAGGTCTGGCAGTGTGCATGTCAGGATCTTTGCTGACCCGTTTCAAGGGACCGCAGTCGATAGGGAGTCTGATTCTTCGGGAAAAAAAGTGAAACTGATGCTCAGGAATCCACTGAAGCAGCCAAAAAGAGTTTTAAAAAACCCCAGCACTATACGTTTGCATCCTTTCAAGCTTGTAAACAGAAACCTAAAAGAAACAATGCAAGCACTCTGTCAAATTGGCTCATTTATCAAGAAGACAGTGAAATGCAGACAGTCTTCTTCCCTTTCTGGATGATGCTGACAGTTTTCTGCTCCCTGTGTACGTTTGTGCTGAAGGTGGTAACACATTTTGATGAAGTATCTGTCTGTAGAAAGACAAATTTCAAAAGTTTCCAAAAAAACAAACTGAGCGTTAAAGTAAAGTTATTATAAAATAAGAATATGTCATACAATGCAGAGAAAAAAGTAAATATTATGAGAATAAAGTCGTAATATTATAGGAATAAAGTCGTAATGATACGAGAAAAATAATGCATCACTTACACTGGGAAATGTTTCCAAGAATTATTATGCAATGACCTTTTTATAACAGATGCTGAACAAACAAGTCACCAAGAGTTGGAAAGCTTCCTGAAATATTTAACTCTGTTGTGCTCAGAAAACATAAATCTAAAATTTCACAAAAAGAAAACGACAAATTTATGCATGAGGCGTTATGAGCTGTTTTTCATTTTACTGCTCAGGTGAAGTGATGCAATAGCAGAGCGAAGGTGTAACTGTGAGATCTGTGAGGTTTCCATAAAAACAAAGCTGAAAAAATAGACCAACAACATTTTGCATAAGATTAGGAGGAAAATAACTTTTGTTTTGGTCATTCCTCATTCTGTGATTGGACAGATTACAGCTTTATAGCTTAGTGAGATGAAAATCCCAAAAGTCTCAATATATTGAGGGAAACTGCGATTTGCATCTCAATATTGATACCCTAAAGAAACTTTTGAATGCTTATGATTTAAAAGTTTTAATAGCAGGTCATTTATAGCAACGTATTATCAACAATGTAGATGGAAAAAAGGAATGAAATTAGGCCAAAAATATCAGAATTTTCCCAAAAAACCCCAAAACATTTCAGTAACATTTGAAATTTTAGAGCTCCATAAGTTGGACATTTATGAGGAAAAAAAAACTCCATCCTTTTTTAGATTAATCTCATGAAAGTTGGAAATTTTTCTTAGTTTGAAAACTTGAAAATTTGCCAGAAAAAAAATCTGAAATTTTGAGACAAATTTAAGAAATTTTGTAGAAAAGTATTTGCAAATTTCTGAGTTTCAAAAGCTGAATATTTTCAACTGTTGGGAAATTTTCGGAAATTTTTTTTTGGGAAAGTTTCCAAAACCAGAAATGTTTTGCTACCAGAACGTAGAAATTTCCAAGTATTTTCTAGGGAATTTCAACAATTAATTCTCAAATTTTCTGAGTTTCTCGTTGCAATTTTTCAGCTTTTCAAACTCAGAAATTTCCAAGTTTCATAACGAAAGTTTTTGAGATGAAACTAAACATTTCTGACATTTTTTTGCAGAAATGTACTCCTCTTTTCTTCTGTTTGTTTTGGCCTTGACACACCTCTATAGTTATTCGTCTCTTTCCAGGTGCAGCAACTCAAGATCTCAGGATTCAGAGACGCATGAGTTACAGTTACAGTTACGTGATTCCAGTTACCATGAACATAAAAGGAAACAAGAAAGCTTGGAAAAAAATTATCACTTTATGTTGCAGCTAATATTTTTGTAAGTAGGTTTGTCCTAATTTATTTAATTTATTCTTGAATTGTGGTTGGGATGGGGGCCACATAAAATCAGTCCAGAGGCCATAAATGGCCCGCAGTCCCCACTTTGAGCACCCTTTATTTAAACAAGCAAAAGTGAATTCAAAATATCTTTTCTGTGTAAAATAAACACTGTAGAAAAATGGCGATGGAAATTTCACAACTTCTGACAAATTGTTCAGCTTAAACTGATTTAATAATGAAAATGTTTCTGTTGTAATGAATCATAAATGTAATGTGACCGATGGAAACCGGCTACAGTAGCTGATGCTTCTACTGCTGCTGCAAACTGTACGTTAAAATAGAAACGATCCCGCTCACTGACGTCAAAGCCAAGGCTTTGCACTTTAACATCATCATCTTATTTCATATTGAATGTTCTGAAGTATATACTGAAGAAAGAAAATATGCATAAAAAGGCTCCGTTCTTTTTATTATAATTACCTGCTGGTGTTGCCCATGAGGACTTTTGTTCCAGCTGAATGCTGATTCCCTATAAAATCAATATGAAAGAAACAAACATCTTCTCAGTAGTTTGGTAGAAAAGACTGCAGCTGTTTATCACTGGACTTAGTAATAAACAGCTTTTGTTTTATTCAGTGTAGATTTTGAGTCAATTACTTTAAGTGCTGATTTTGTGGAATTTGTATTTTTGTGCATAAAGAGAGTATTTATTCTTTTTATCTGCATAAAAAAAAATCTTTCCTGCTGATATGTGTGAAGGAAGTTAATTAATCTCGATAATTACTGGCAAATCAACTTATCTCGAAAAAGCCATTAGGAAAAGTACATGCAGAAAACAAGAAATGAACTCGTTATCTCTTGGAAACCTGCAGGAAATTAATCTACAAAAATAATCAGGAAGTGAACTCGTTGTCTCCACAAAACCAAAGCATATGCAGAAAATCTTCAGGAAATTAATTTGTCTCAAGAAAATCATCTGTAAAAATTTCCCAGAATTCATCTGTAACTTTTTAAGTTCCTGCAACTTAAAAACTTCAAGTCCATTCAACTGAAGTGTGATATTTGGAAATCCAGGGTAAAAGAAAAAAATCAACAAATTTAGGCACATTTTAAAAAAAATGATTTAAACCAGCAAAATATATACTTTTTTTCTTATTTTTGGCATTACCAGAGTCCCATACCATGCTTTTTTGTTTGTTTTTTTAAATGAAGGTTCCTGTTGTGCAGGCTTTGGGCAGGAACTGAGATGCTTTATAGCTGCGTTTAGCTGAGAGTTTGGCGGTTCTGTGGAAACCAGATTTGTTTATGTTTAACTTTGGGGAGGCGCAGCAATGAGTGGGGAGGGGAAAAGTTAAGTTTATTCTCGATGAAGGAGACGCTTACGAGTGTCTGAAATTCTCGATGGGATTCAACTCTTACAGTGACGGGACTTATTTCATTGTTCTGAAATATCTAGTTATAAATCTGGACAGCACGAATTAAAGTCTGATGGGAAAAGTCACTGAGTCAGTCTGTGTTTACTACGAAGATTTAGCCTGGCGGTAATGATCACACACCAGAAAACAACTGTTCCTCTTTTCTCTATCTAAAATTAAATCTTTTAATTGCACCGGTGTGAGCGTGTGTACCTTTACGCTCCAACAGTCACATAACGTCACCAACATTTCATCTGGAGGGAGAATTAGCAAAGTGACAATTTATTTTCATTCTGTCCCAGATGAACAAGCTGTACATGCGCAGTAAAGCCAGTTTTTGCTTCTGGTTAAAAGTAATGTTACCCTGCAACCTTGGTTGGCAGAGTAATGTATTATAAAAGATGTGGTGCTGTGACACAGGAAAGATGAGACACACACGTTGAGTTCTCGTTAACATCCAAAGGAAGATTTATTCCTCTTTTGTGCAAACATACTCCATATTCAGTACTTTATATTTTTTGTCATTTTTAAAAATCAAAACAAAAACACAGGAGTTTGTTTCCAACTATTTTAACAACTTTTCTTTTACACAGATAAGATATATGTAACTATTTAAACATCTTATAACTACTGGAGCCTATAAGAAAGACGAAAGACGTTACAAAATAGCAATATTTTATCCGTTACTAAAAGAAAACATAACTGAAAAAACCGTAATGCTACTAACTGACACATCAACGGTCCTTAGTTACAATGTCTTGGTTCTCAACAAGAAAACACAATTTTACCGAAATAGAAATGAAAATACTGTAACTTATTTGAAAATTGTTTCGATTTATACAAAATTTAACAGTTTAACGGAAACTTAACAGTCTTTTAACGTTTATCCACGCAATAGTCCTCACAAAACGGACAAAATGACTCACTAGTGGACTTCCTATTAAATAATATATTCAATTCTCAAAAGAAATCTATATTCAAGGATCAAGATGCATTTTAAATAACCTGTGACACAGGAAAGATGAGACACACACGTTGAGTTCTCGTTAACATCCAACGGAAGATTTATTCTGTTTTTTGAGCTCATTCTTTTCTATGCCACCAATGCAATGCGCCCCTAGTGGTCATGTGGAGAATTGCGTGGACAAACTGAAACAACGCTTAATAATTTGTTACAAGAAATTAAGATACAAAATGAAAAATTATGTTTGGGGTGTCTATTTTCTCGTAACTTGTTTATCACCCCTCTACAGTAACAAACAAACAAATGTGATAGAAACAAAAGTTATTGCAGAACTTAAGAGTATTTTTCCACATAAACCAATTTGTTTCTTATAAAAATTACTTTGAGGAAAGGGAGAAAGACACAACTTGGTTTTTTTTTTTTTGACCAACTTGTTTGAATCAATCAAAAACATAAATTCCAGTCCAAATTTTTACAAAATGAAGACTTTAAGTTTTATTTTGATACTGACTGGCATCAGCGCCTCTGGTGGGGTGTCCAAAGTACGGTTTTTTTTCTGCCTCTTGTTACCATGACTCATTAATATTCAAAATTTGATTGACGCATAACCTGCAACCGTTAAAAGCTGATGCTAATCCATTTTTGTTTGTGAAGACAAAGGTTGCATTCAGCGTCTTCTTCAGAGGTTTTTGTGTTGTTTTCTTCAGTGAGTATTGGTGCAGCGCCCCCACAGGCGAGGAGGAGGACAGGTTTTTTAAAGAGTTTGGTTTGTTGGACAGTGCATAAACCCCGGCAGCTGAAAATGTGACAAATGTTGCAATTTTGGTTCCGAATCCAAGCGTGTTCTGGCCTGCCAGGTGGGTTGTGCTGTGTTTGGTGTTTTGTGATTTCGGGTGAAATAATAGCTTGTTTTGCTCTAGTATTGATCAGCTGTGATATCGGCGAGCTGGATGCAGACGGATGGTGCTACCTGCAGTCAGATCCCTGCCATCCAAGTCTCTGGGTAAATTCAGCATAAGCTTAATTAGGGATTTGATAACCGCAGAGGGGCTCAGACTTGGGCACTAATTCCAAATTTAAGACGAGCTCACTAGTAAAACCTCATGGAGGCGGTACTAACGACATGTTGCTGCTTTATGCTTTCCTCTGGCATGTGAAGCTTTACAGAAAGGCAGAAGTTTTAGAGCAAAGTGCTGAATAAAGCAGATGTTTATTGGAGGCTTTGCTTCCTCTGAAGTTTCACATTACAAGGAGCAGCTGCTTCTTTAACGACATGGGAGTCTATAAGAAATGCAAATGTGGCTGAATGAAGCTGTGATTATGGATCTCTGTAGTATTCTTAGTCCAAAAACACCACTGAGGGATTTCTAGGGAACCGATCTTTGCGGATCGGTTTTCTAAGGTGACCCTGCAAAAAACATTGAGAACAAACTCAAAATTTCCACAAAAAAATGTAATCAGATGATTTTCTGCCTTTCTTTTTTCTTATGAAATTATGAACTAGAGACCGGTCTTGGACTCCATACACTCTGGTCTTGGTCTTGTCTTGGTCTCGGGTTGGGTGGCCTTGACTACAACACTGCTTGTAACTCTTGACATCGATATGTGAAGCAATATTTTGATGAATGGTCGCATTTACCCATGATGCCGTGCATTGTAGTCCATTTCCTGTTTGTGTAGCGCTGTCCATTCTGCTTTGCGTTCACATTCTGCAACAAAACATATTTAACTTCAACCAAACTGAGACAGAGGATCGTAGGTGGAACAAGGTTTTCTTTTTTTGGTTCGATGATGGATTCACACCTCAGTAAGCAAACTGGACTATAAAGGCAAACGGACTGGAGTTGGATTGAACTAAATATGTATGCAGGATTCAGAAAACAGCACATTCAGAGCAATAATTTAGGCAAAACACCTTTGTCTGTAAGTATGTTCCAGCCAAAACTCCTTAAATGGGATCATTTTAACTTCACGCTGCTGAGATTTGCAAAAGAAATGTTACAATTTTTCATTTTAGATTTAGATTTGGTAAAATCTGTATTATTTATGTATTTGCATTTTTTTAATATTTCTATATTGTAGAAAATAAAAGTTATAAGTGGCTAAATAAAAAGTCAGCAGAATGTGGCTGTTTTTTTTAATCAGATTAATCTATTAATTATCACAACTTAGCGCTGTCAATTAACCTCATGAAAGTGCTGCTAAATCTATTAATTGCGGAGAAACAACTTAACGTTGCAGGTAAATCGTTTATCCTCTGCCATCGGTGGCTATGCTAACTCGCCTTAGCATTGCCGAGCTGATTGACAGCGCTTAGACCCGCCTCCTGGCTCTGATTGGTTGATTCTAGTTAACGCTGAGACATAACAAAGGAACTCAATTTTTTCACAGATTATCTGTCGAATATCAATGTGTGTTTTTGCAGTGTATTTGGTGTCCATGAAAATGCCAGACTCATGCTGTTTATTTAAAAACAGCATGTGAGTTTAAAGGCAAAGTCTGACGTCAGTGAACCTACATCAAAAAAATGATGTATGGAGTTCTAGCAGTGCCCAAAAAAAGTACAAATCCAGTCGTTTTTTGTTTGTTTTTTTTTAAGTAAAATGTGTCTACATTGCTGTAAGCACTTTTTTTCTGACTTTAGAGAGGCAAGACTTTGGGTTTTCGCAGTGAAAGAGTAACAAAAACAGAAATAGAAGACTAACACAAAGAGAATAACTTAAATACTCCACAGATAAAACAAAAACACAAACAGTCACACCAAAGAGCAGTTTAATATATACAAATTGAGAATGGTGTAAACTCCTTTCAAAATCTCCATTTCAACAGTTTTTACTGTATTTTTTTCTCTATCTCTATTTTTCCAAGGACAACTGAAGCAAAAAATCAGTAGCTTCATAGAGATTTATCCGATTCTCATGTTTTGCTTGAAAAATCTGTCCTGCAGCGTTAAATGAGCCCCATCGGTCGGACAGCTGTGGCTTGATCGGCTCACGTCAAACACAGCAAGCAGGAACAGATGCGCAACAATTTGCCAGAAAGCCGCCATAAAGTTGAGCGGGACGGAGATGATGGCACATAATTAGGATTCCCGACAGGTTTGGGTCAGAGAGGTTGTTATTTGGCACATTTCATGGTGCAAATCTTCAGATTTTCATTTCCCTGCCAGTTAACTGAGGACTGCAGGTGGCTGTGCGTGTGTGCGTGCGTGCGTGCGTGTGTGTGTGTGTGTGATGCCAATGGGGATTGTTTGAAAAGACAGACTAATAAAACCTTCAGCACATTTATTTTCCAAATGAATTTAAATCTTTACCTTAGCTGAATAATTTCTCTGGTTTTTATTTTATGTGTTGTATTGTTTGCACAAAACTCGTCTCTATTAACAATTCATCCACTGCCGGCTGAGAGTCGACATTAACAATACAAGCAAATAAAATGCCTCTGTTAGCTCTGATTCCTGCAAAAACTCAAAATCTTACCAAGTATTTTTGGTCTTGTTTCAAGTGCAAATATATTATAATAACATTTGAAATAAGACCAAACTTATTTCAACTGACTAGTAACTCTTTAGAAAAATGTATAGAAAATTGGTTTAAGTCAATAATTCATTAATATTGTTTAAAAAGTGCTGGTCCCATTGGCAGATTATTTCACTTACAACGAGATAATTTTTCCATGTCATTAATAAAATAATCTGCAAGAAGAACATGCACTTTATCATCAATATTAAGGAATTAATGACCTAAAACTATTTCCGATATCTTGCTGAAAAGTTACTTAAGAGTTAGTTTTGTTTTATTTCAAGTGTACCAGCATATCTGCAGTAGAAACTAGACTAAAAATAATGGGTAAGTTTGTGGTAAATAATGTTATTTACAGCCTAATTTATGTTTTAATCCCAGTGTGACGTTTCCTTGCAGGTTATATAATCGTGGAGTTCATTGAGTTCCTGTGTGGGTGTCTTCCATGTTTTGTTTGCTATGTGAAAAGCTGGAGGTAGCAGATAAAGTCGCAGGTCTGTGACATGACATGACTTCATTCACATGAAAAGTTTCCATTTTGTCCATGAAAATGCTGCGTCCATCTCAGTTATTCTTTTCTAATCCAAGTTTGTCAGGCTTTGCTAGATTCATCAGCTCAGGGATGAACTTCAACTCTGTGACTGTTACTGTATTTTTCCATTGCAGTAGGGCACATAGTCCGGTAAAAAATAAATCAGCAAAAGTTGATTTAGGTTTTAAATGGGACCTGTTAGGCAAAATTCACATTTTGTATGTTTTTGTTCTTCTGCTTGTGTTTCTACAGCTTCTAAAAGCAACCAGGCATCCTTTAGGCAATAAATTCATGTTTTTTGGTGTTTTAAAAACTTCTGGAATGTAACGTCACTAATTAGCCGCACTGACCTTTCACCTAATAATCCCTTTGCTCGTTACCTAGCAACCCCAGCAGAGTTCCACCAGTCTCCTAGCAACCCCAGCAGAGCTCCAGTAAGTTTGGTCAGCTGGTTTCAACTACTTTATATGCTGGAAAACAGTCTTGTGTGTGTGTGTGTGTGTCTGTGAGTGTGCGTGCGTGCGTGTGATATGTTAATACTGTGCATGTGCAATTTTAGTATTTTGTGAGTGTGTATGAGTGTTTAGTAGTGTGTGACAGACTCAACATAGTTTTTGTCCTAACCGGCTCCTCATACCATACTGTAGTATTTGCATTGGTTTGACTTTACACGAGATAAAAATCTGCCCATTTAATGGTTTATCCAGAATTTAAAAGCAAGTTGGGGGAACTGTGCTGTATGTTTTATTGAAATATGCAGAATATTGCTGTAAATTGTCATTTAACTGATCTGCTTTACACTGTTGGCCAATTAAACCTTCTATTGGCAAATTTATGACAATATTGCCACCTTGTGTTCATTTACCGCAAGTACACATTTAATCCCAAGTCATTGATCTTCAATTGTTTAAAAAAAAGAATATAATCTTATTTGTTTTGCCTCAGTCTTGAAATCTAATGTAATTATATAATTTATTCAATTAAAAACAAACTAGAGTCACTAAAGAAAGATTTCTGTCACAATGTTACTGAAATGACATAAAAGTTAACACTGAAATGTTGATTTTATTAGTAGTAATGTAGCTTTTGTGGCCTTTGCTGCAGTCATTTAAAAATATACATCAAGAGCAATTATTTAAAAATGACTTTTATTTGAACATGATTGCTTGTGTGTCCAGTTCCTACCAGTCACTATTTACATTAAATTTTAATGAAAAAATCAGTGAGTGAGGCAGTTTTGGTTAGTTTCTGTCTGGTTCCTCTGCAGTTCAGCCAAAGATTCCTCTTCTTGCTGTGGAAGAGATGAAGAAAATCACCACAGTTTTAGACATCTGTCCCTGTCTGAAGTTTTCTGTTAATTTGATTTGGTTTATTTAGTTTCCTACGTTTCTCGGTGACGGTGTAAATGGCCTCCATTCCAGCTGAAATGTGGTCGGTGACGTGGCAGTGGAGCAGCCAGGAGCCAGGATGCTCAGGGCGCATCTTCACTGTCTGCACAGGCAAAGAGCAGCTTGCACTTTAGATTTTATTCATTCAAAAAATAATAATTACCTCATTGGATTTACACCAAAATTAAGCAAAAACTTTTGGTATAATGTCGTAATTCAGATTAGTCTTAAAGAAGAACACAAATAAAACAGAACCACATATTTTAAAAATCCATAAAATAAACTACACTTTCATTGGAGCAGCATTATTTATCTATGAATTTTGTTTTCAAAAGCATAATTTGGCAGCCATTATTAAGATGGAAAACAATCCAAGTTTGTAAATAATGCTTACACTGCAAAAACACAAAATATCACCTCATATTTTTGTCTAGTTTTTAGGGCAAACATGTGAGCACACTTAAAATAACAAAACTAACTTACAGGTAACATTTCATCAACACAGAAACGTGTCTTAATGTGTACATTCAGTAGGGTTGGAAATTATAATCATACAACTAAAGTTAAACCAAATATGGAAAAATGATCTAAAATGAGAATTTTTGTAAAAAAGTAAATAATTATTACAAGAAAGGTAAAATATAAAATAAACCTTTCTCAATAATCAGTGAGAAAATCTGAAGAAATTTAACTAGACTGATATGTTTTGGATCAAATTTCAACACGTTTTTACTGATAATAAGAAAAATTTATTAGTTTGGAAGACAGAAAAAGATGAAATAATTTAAACAATTTTGAAATAATGCGAGAAGTTTTAAGACTTTACCTGAAAGATGGCAGGAAACAGCTCATAGGAATCAACGCGGTGAGGTCCTCCATCCAGCTGCAGAATAAAGGTAATCCAGTTATGAATTATTGTCTCTCCATTGTGTGTCAGGCTGTAGCTGCGTACCTTATACTCCACACTGTGACCGTGCCAGTGCACAGTGTGAATATCCACTTCATTTCCCATCCCCATCAGGTACCAGTACACCTTATCTCCCACCTCCATGTTCAGCCCATTCAGGTTGCTGTACACATAACCGTTAATCGCTGAAACCAAGCAGAAGAGAAAAGAAATCATGTATGTTTTTAATCCTGATTTACTTTGGCTGGGACATGAAGGGACGTTTGGTTTGAAACTCCAGACTAAATGTTCTGAGTGATGAACCAAAACCAATAACTGCATCGAGAGCATGAAACAAAATGTCAACAAAATGCAAACAAGGCAAATACCTGAAGCTAATTATTAACCGACTCAACTGACGTCAACCGGACCGAACATCAAAATCCACACAAGTACAAACCGCAAAGTAAAATCCTTAACTGCATGTAGTTCTCTGTGCATCTAGTGGAACTTCTTTAAGGATTTCAACACTGAACTAAGATTAACCAAGTGTTTAGTTTTTAACAACTTTTTAACTTTTAGTTCAAAAGTTTCAGCATTTCTTAGTGTCTGAGCTCACGCTTGTTAATTTTGCTCAAACTAAACTTAAAAGCATTTAGAAATATTTAGTTTTTTGGTTTTTTTAGGGCACCTATAACGTAAAATTCACGTTTTGCTCATTTTTTGTACTTCCATCCTGGTGTTTATTTGGTGTCTGGAAATGAGCCTTTTCAAAATTCTCAACATGCCGTTACCTAGCAACCACAGTGGCATTCCGCCTGTCGCCTAGCAGCCGAAGCTGAGCTCCTGCACATTTGGTCAGCCGGTTTTACCGCTGCATGCGCTGCACAGTGGCTGCTGGAAAAGACAAGTGTTTTGTTGTTGACTTGCTGCATTTTGGTTGGCTGTGCAGGAGGCTCTACTTATGCTTTTCAAAGATGTACAGTTGTATAACTGTGGATCTGTTTGCAGCTACTTTTACATGAGTTTAAACATTGAGTTGGAGGGCGTGACCAGCAGCAGCTTATTTGGATTTAAAGTGACAGAAGACATAAAACAGTTTATCCTGAAAGGAGCTCAAAATGAAAATCAGGTCATGCAGCTACTCTGACTTGTTCAGTGAAGCCACCATGAAGTCCATTCTAGAATAATTTCACTGTTTTCCTTCAGTAATGTCTCGGTTCTGTGAAATCAGGTGAGTTTCCAGTCTTCTCTCTGTTTTTATCTCACCGTGCATTTTGTTGCTCTCGATGAAGGAGTCGTCAGCCTTCAGGTTCGGTCGAGGATTCCTGATGTTCCGTCGAATGTTTTCATCCAAATACCTACCAAATAAAATGCATTACTTTTTGGAGCCGTCAGGAGAAAATGACTGACTATTTAAACCATGAATCACATCAGACATTTATTTTATTGAGATTTTATGTGACAAACACAAAGTAGAGCAACATTTTAATTGGAAAGGGGATTTATTTTTTAAAAATTTTATCAATTATTTTCATTGAACTACTTTGGATTGGTATACCACATTAAATCCAAATTAAATACTTCAAATTTGTGGTTTAAATGTGTCAAAATGAATATTTTCCTAAACTTTGCCAAGAGATGAAACAGGGTGTCGCTGTGTTGCAGCATATTTGAAATGTTCAAATTTTTGGTTACTGAACTCAGCATTTATCGACATAAATTAAAAATGAAAACGGTGAATTTGCTCTTTGAATTTTGACGCCTACCAGCTTTCATTCTCATCAAAGACCAAGAAAAGCAGAGCAAACTCTTCAACCTCCTTCTTTAGTCCAAGAGACCTGGAAGTGACACGATTTTATTACACACAAAGTAAAATATGTTACAAATATACTTTGATTTCTCAGCATAAGCTTCGTTGTGTTGGTTGAGATTTCAACACTGCAAAAACACCAAATCTCATCAAGTATTTTTGGTCTTTGTAAGACTAAAAACACCATAACAAATGTAAATATTTGAGGTTTACTGTTTTTATGTACTTCTATCTTGCTTAAAAGTTACTTAAAAGTTAGATTTGTCTTATTTTAAATGTACTAAGATATGTACATGTGAAATTAGACCAAAAATATTGAGTAACATTTTGTGTTTTTGCAGTGAATTCCGTCTTCACCTGGCCCAGCTGCGACGGCAGATCACTAATGGCCCAATTAATCCGCTGTACAAGTCCTGGCAGGAAGAGAGAGAGCATGTAAGTACACTGCAAAAACACAAAACATTACCAAGTATTTTTAGTCGAGTTTTTCCTGCAAATACTTTGGCAACTAACAAGCATGCAACTTTTCTGCAAGATATAACAACTTGTTTTGAGTAAATATTTCCCTAATATAACAAGATTTTTTTTTTTATATTCTGGCGGTGGAGCTAGTACTTTTTAAAATCAACATTAAGGGATTTTCACTTAAAATGAGCTGAAAAGTTACTTCTAAGTTAGTTTTGTCTTATTTCAAGTGCAGTAAGACATTTTCACTTAATCAAGACTAAAAATACTTGGTAATATTTTTGTTTTTTCAGTGTGCTTTATCAACACACCTTGATGACATCAGCAGTAGAGTAATACGCTGACACAGAGCACTCCTCCTGCTCCGTGGTTGGTCCTGTGTTCTTGTTGACTAACCAGGTGTACGTGTGAGTTTCACCTGGACAAATACATTAGAAAGTCTTTCTGAGCCCATTTAGTAAGTATAAATGAATAA